AGATACTCCTCTAAGCACCCAGTTTACTCAGCGAGTTTCCGACTTTGAACGCCTAGAAAGAAGGTATCTGGCTGGAACAGGTGACCATCAGAGTGGAGCGAACTGAGCTTGAAATATTTAATTGTCATGAACTTTTTCTGCTCCAAAGCATGAACTGAGATATTTTCATAGAAGATAATTGCTATTTTTGGTTTTCACAGATCTTAACTTATTTAATTATCTAACATGTTATTGTATGGCTGTTGTACCTTTCATTTGGTAATTGATTGTTTTGACCCCTATAAAAATGTGTCATATGAGAGTGTTTGTGCTTGAATTACATAGATCATGTACCTGAAGGTAGCTGACAACAACCGGGCAGACACCCACCTTGCCTTCTTCAGTGAAGCTGTGAATGAGCATGGCTTTCCTCTGAGGTATTCATGTTATTCCCAACTTTACCCTCTGTTACCCTGTTACAAATCTGCTTTTGCCTAAAGTGTGTTATTGACCAAAGATAACATGCCATTTGAGGTCATATAGTAAAATCTATGTGGGGGGGGGGGGGGGGGGGGGGGTGAACATTTCCCTCTTTCAAAAAATATTTCCCCAGCAGAGGATTAATAATGCCACATTGTTTACTCACTTAGTAGCAAGGTAGGAAATTTCTGTGAGACTCAAATTGATGTAGATTGTTATAGATGTGCATTAAAAATGTTTGAAGCAAGATTCTGTTTTTTTTTTTTCATGGTGAGAGGAGATCATGGCGGAGAAAATGTAGGTGTTGCAGAATTAATGTTCTCAGTTCGTGGAACTGACACCAACAGCTTCATTGCAGGAAAAAGTGTACACAATCAACGGTGAGTTTAACCTAATTTGGAAGCTTTGTGTCTGTGCGCGCGTGCCTGTGCCTGTTGACCTGCCCAGGGTGCACCCTTCGTCTCACACTGTGACTGCTAGAGATAGGCACCAGTCCTCCTGCGACCATTCAAAAGATAACTCAAGTTGAAAATGGATGTATGGACATGTAAATTTGTGTGTATATTATAATTTTCTTTTATTTAATCCCCCTCCAAATCCAGGATCGAGCGCCTGTGGCGTGATGTCTTCATGAGTGTTACTGGTCTATATTACAACATCCTGCACTCTCTGGAAGACCAAGACTTGCTCGACATCAGTAACATCCTTCACATGTTTTGTTGCCACTATATTTTCTTGTCTCGCATCCAGGCCAGCCTGGATGTCTTTAGAGATGCGTGGGACAACCATCCAATCAGGACAGAGGAAAACATGACACCAAATCAGCTGTGGCATCTGGGCCAGGCTCTGAATCCTGTTTCTGATCCAGGGGCAAATGTATGTTCTGTTAAAATGACTGATCACATGTCAAGTTGATCCTTAACTAAAAATCAAATGTTCAACACTTTGATAATCTACCTCTGCTCTATGCTTCTTGGATTCAAGACAAAATGGCTGTTGAAATTACAGTTCTGTTTGTGTGCACCTCTACTGAAATGGACACTCAACTATAATGTCATGACATTACAAAGTCATGACACATCTGCAAGTTCAAAATGCAAGGCATTAGACCTTCCAGATGTGATATTCTCACTGCTGTTTTAACATAAAAGTAGCCCATTAATTAAAAAAATAATTTATGAAATAATGGAGATGCTAGGTTCTGCCTGACATCATTGATGTTAAGTAATTGTTAAAAGGTCATGATAGGGCTTTATTAAATGTGTTTTCTTGAGATTCATTATGCACAATGCTCATACACACTTTCCTTTTCCAGGGTATACCGACACCAGAGATTGAATGGGAGGAGAATGGATACATGACTGAACCTCATCCTGGGATCAGTGTCCCTGTACTGGACAGTCCTCTTACAGATCATGAAATGTTGGAACTGCAGGACAGCATTAATCCGTTGCAACATTCAGACTCTTTTGGGAGTGGACACATATCTTCACACTGTCCAGTATGTTGAGAACTTACTTGAGGCTAGATGATTACATGTGTGAAGAAGGAAGGAGAGAGAAGGTAGGGAGTTAGGAAGAAAGAAAACAATTAATGAGACAGGAAGGAAGGAAGTTAAAAAGTGAAGGAGTGGTCCATTTTAAGGTTAATGTACTGTATATTGTTATTCAAGGGATTTGCCTTTGTAAATATGAAATGCTAAAGGATAGACCCCAAAATAGATGTCTAAATTCATTTATAGTTGTGTATTTCCTTAAAGTCTTTGTCACCCTGATTTATTTTAGACCAGGAATGTATTTGAAAAGGCTGCTGTTCACTTCATCTATGCTACAATTCTTCAAAATGTAAATGTGCTATCATTGCTAGTGTTGGTTTAGTAACATACATCTTCCTGTGTATCTAGCTCTAATAAAAACATTTAAAGGTGAAGCACCTACTTATCAGGAGATCCATTTATTTTTACATGTTATTGTTTGAATTTTGTCTCGTTTCATAACTTTTGCTCAACATTTAAGGGGAACTGTTACCCTGCGATCATCTTCATTACACTTGAAAACTTGTACTATACCTCCGTCCGTCTACTTATTAAATGGAATAACATGACAAGATTCTATCTACTGGTTTTTTGATCAAGGGATGATTAGGTGTTGTGAGAAGATTCTCTATGCTTCTGAGTCTGTGTTAAGTTGCAACTGGACACACATACCCACACACAGTTTGTTCATTTGTTCTCAGAATGAGAATAATGTCTTTTACAATTAAAAAGTTTTTTTTCTTGATGTCACTGAAGGCTGTGTTAGAAATATATGCAGCTCATTAAAAGGAAAAGTAACCGATGTAACCAAAAGCCTGAACACAGGAGAATAGAGACACCTGCCAAGATAAAGAGCTGGAGCTTTTGCTCCTTATCAGAGTCACTCCCATGGAATAGGCCTGATGATTTACTAGCTTCTCTTACCTTCTCTGCAGACAATGTTTAATATGAGCTTCAAGAGGTCTCTGCCCCTAACGGGTTTGCTTTCACTTAGTAAAAATGCATAATTTTTCTGAATAAGATTATTAAGAGGCCACCCATATGGTGGAGCGTTGGTAATGTAATGTAACCGGTTAGATTTGTGTCCGACTTGATGCCGACTTGCTCTGACGTCATGCATACGTAGGCAACGATAACCACTTGAGATCAAGGCGGCCGCAGATTTTGGAGCAAGGCGCTGCAGTTGTTCTCCCTTGGCTGCAAAACCTTGGGCATGATGGGAAACGTCTGGCTCTCACCTGATCTAAGATCTGATTGGTTCATATTTTGATCCAAACATCCGGTGGTAGAACATGAAATGTTAGTTGTTCACGTGTATTCTGTAAATCATGTAACGTTAATGATGACAACTATATAGGCCATAAAGAGAAATGTGGTTTGTGTTCTTTTGTCATGTTTCCTATGAGCACACTGAAGCTACAGCTGCTAACCTTTACTTATTATTACAGTCATGTTTTCATATTCGATATTTGATATCCACAAGCACGTGATGATGTGTTTCAGCTGCTAACAGGCACCAGAATTAAAATTGAAAATTAAACAAGTATGAACGCTAACGCGATATCTTCATCCATCGTCACCCCCGAGCTACACATGCAGGAAATTGTGTCCGACTTATGCGCACAGCAGATCTGTTCTGTAACATAAGGAGCCATTGGCTGAAAGCGAACAGCCCTGGCAGAAGCATATATTTGATTGACAGGTTCATTAGCCAATGGTGACGTTTGTTGACCTGCGACGTTAGGAGAGTCTCAAAATTCAGCACACCGATTTCTCTCACGAATGCAGGAAGGTTCACAAATGAGAAGCTGTCCGTGAATGCACCACACAGATTTCACTCACAAACGCGGAAAGGTTCACAAATGAGAAGCTGTTCGTAAATGCACATTCAGCAGTTCGCATGATCTGAGTTTATATTACAAGTGTTCTTACAAATTATATTTGTGAACCACAGAGTGTGAACTTCAGAATTAGCGTGTGCATTTGTGGAAAATGTTGCGTGACTTATTTTTTCACATTATATTTATGAGTCAAAGAGTGTGAATTTCCGAATGAGCGTGTGCATTTGTGTTCCTCCGAATTATATTTGTGAAACACAGAATGTGGATTTCCGAATGAACGTGTGCATTTGTGGAAAACGTTGTGTGACTTAATTCTTATTGAGACTGTTCTGGCCTCATAGATTTAGCATAGCATATTAGCATTTTTAAAACATGTGGGGAGGGTAGTTCATCAAGCTGTTTCAAGGCTGCTAACTCTCTCATGCATTTGTCTGTAGTCACTCACACACACCCGTCACGGCCGACGGAGGGACAAGTGAGCAGGCACGTGCGCGCGCGCGCGCACACACACACACACACAAGGAATGCTGCTTGCTTATTTATTTCTATAAAAAATGTTTTAAAAAATGATACAGCTCATTAAAACACCATTAAAAGAATACATTTTATTAAGATCTCTATCTATATATATATACATACATATAATTATAAATAATTTTATAAGTAGTCTTATTTAATATTGAGTGTCTTAATGGCTGAAAATGGATAAAAAGCAGTTACATTTTAATTTAAAGATTTGAGATTCGAGTCAAAAATAAAGAACATTCCTCCAAGTGTTCTTTAATGTCATCATTATAATTCTAATGCTTACAACTTTGTTTTTATTGTCTGCAATGCGTAGCCTATATCTTTATTAAATGTGTTTAGCTGTAAAGTGGTAATTCTCTCTAATGTGTACAGAGAGGTGGACATCAGTGCTGCAGTGAAATTCCCAAGATCAGTCTGCTTTGCTAACAAATATAGTTAAATCTTACCTGCATTCTAAATAAATACCGTTAGGTGAAAACATCAGTAGGCATTGAGTTATTGATACAATCCCTAACAGCCAGAATGGAAGAAGAGCATGCTGGGTCATCCTGGACCTGAGCCTGTTCTGTGTATTTACCTACAGGATGCAATAAATGTCTACAAGGCTGAGTTTGGACCATTACATCTAAAAGAAAACATACAATCAGTGATTTTTTTAATTGTTTACATTAATATACAAATTTTCTAAGTATTAACCTCACAGCAAATAAGTAGAACAATATAATAAACAGGCTTTAGTAGTTAAACAGGCGTTGTGCACACAGGTGCTTTGTGTCTCGGTGCTGGTGGTGTCTAGGTCTCAGAGTTCCTGTCCTCCTGCCGTCTTCTGTTGTCCTCAGGATACGGATTGATGTTTCCTGATGATGAGGGAGGGGCAGTATGTGGGCTTCAAAATGGTCCTGGATAACAGTGGGAGACCTCCGTTGTCTGAATACTGAGATCAGAGGGTTGGTGAGATGCAGATCTTCTCTACCTCATCTAGAAATGGAGTTGGTTCAGGGAAAACTTTTCCAAAGACCAGTTCCATGATGTCATCGTCATATTCTGCAATGATAGACAATAACTTTAATGACATATTTTGTTTACAAGCAGCTTTAGGAAAGTTGTTTCTTTAGCTTTCATGTTTATAGTCACGTTTGTGTTTGTTCACAAGTTCACTTTGCTGCAGTGACTTCATATTCTTACAAATGTAATAAAATAGTGACACTAAAATTATACAAATGATTCCTTATGAAAGGAAGCTCATTAGAGAGCAGTGCAGACAGACTTACTACTCTATTAAATCCACTGTGTTGACGCACTTTAATGACTTTGTCACGCTGCATTTTAGCTGATATGGGACTTTATTTCCTGGATGCTAAGATTACATCACACTCACGTAGAATAACACACAGGCTCTCTGCTGTTACAATCAGTGGGAGGTGAGCATCTGGTGTAAAAGAAGGCGTTTATCAGAAATCACGTTTTATTCCACGAAAATCAGCCAAATCCACATTGATCTGGGTGCTAACTTTACTAGCATACTGTGCTAGCGATAGCAAGCCGGATGCTAATGCTTTAGTGCTGCTAATGCCCGTAAATCTAAAGTAAAGTTTGTCGACATTTTAGAGTGATATGAAGCTTACCGCTCTGCTGCTGTGTCCCGGTGCTGCCACATTCAGATAAAAATGACTCCTTTTAGATAGATGAAGCCCTCAGTACTTACTAGCCTGGAGATACGAACGAACGAACCACGCGCGCGCGCGCGCCCACACACACACAAACACAAACACACTACTTTTTCTTCTGTGTTTTTTTTAGCAGTAGTGTCATCAGCTCCTGGGTTTAAATACTGCCACACCACCCTTCCTTAAAACGAGGAACAGTTTTGAGCTGTGTGTGGCTAAAATAACCAGACATTCTGCATTTTTCCAATAGGACTACAAAAAATCTTAGCGAGAAGAAAAAATGGCGGATTGGCTCTGTGTTTAGCCGAGGGCCATTACCATATTTGGTAGTTATCCTCACTAAATTAATTACTGATGTCATAGATAATGTAAAAACTGAACGGGTGGACAAATATGCCCAAAACTTAATTATTAAATATCTAAATAGCAACTCCAGTGAATAATATAAGCCTTTTTGCTCACTTAGACACTTAAAATGTGAAACACACTGTGTTAATGGATAAAAAAGTGTGTTTTTCATGTTATGTCTCCTTTAAAGGTTCATAAAGCTGTGCTTCAGTTTGTGTAATTTTAAAATAACTAGATTCCCTTCTCCGCCCACCTGCTGCATTCCATGTTTGCATATTTGGAATAACTGTATTAATGTGAAAAACGCGCCCAGAAGTTCACCACATTTCCATAACATGTGGTGAACACCTGCAAAATAAAGGATCATATTCACAGTCCTGTTGAAAATATTATCTCGCTCGCTGTGAGACGTCAGATTTAACTTTGGAAAGTTGCAGAAATAAAACAACCAAGCCCAAATGAATGCCCTCCAACACCAAAATGCTGCTGTCAAAGCCAAGCGGGACAGATTAGGACTGGGTCATAAACCTGAAGAAGATAAATGTAGAAGAGAAAGACTAGAACATTTACTGTACCTGAGTGAATTTGGCTTAATGGCCTTAATTAAACCCATATCTACAGATGTTATCAACTTTTGTTCTTAAACTAATAACCCAGAATCAATGCGCCATCTGTTCTGTTGGTGTGTTTAATATCTCAGTGTTTGATGAATCCTAGTAATGACATGAAAGAACGCCCTGGATTGTGATTAAGCTTCCTGCTTTGGGATCGGGAATGTATGGAATGTGCCATAACATTGTGATTCTGAACATGTTAGACGTGTTAGAGGTAACACTAAAGCTTATGAGTATTTTAGGTTTGTTTAAGAACAAACATTTTTGCTAATGTTGTGTTTTTTCATCGTGTCTCATTCATTATTTTATCTTCTTGGTCAAAAGTTGAATACATTTTGTGACTTTGGTAAATACCCAGAGTCTGGTCTGCAACATTTCTGACTAACCCAGGGGTCTGCAACCTTTTCCCATCAATGAGCCACTATTACCCATTTCCCACAGTAAAGAAAACACTGGGAGCCGCAGCAGTCGCAGCGTTGCGGGCGGGGCCTACCCTCAGACAGCAGAGAGCTGCTTTAACCGATCACAACAGGTGACAGCAACCAATACCAGTCGCTCATGTACCTCAAAGTTATCTTTCAACAGAAGATAATTACTGAAATAGTTTGTATAAAATTGATGCAAAAGTTGTAGCCCGTCTGTGCTGCAATATTTCGATATTTTTCACCCTACTAGTGGTTTTAATGGTTGAGGTGACGCTTTTTGAGGAGTCACACATAACTGTTCCGAATACAAATCCAGGCTCTGTCTCGTTGGTCCGTTATAATTAAACTTTGTACTGAACTAAACTTTGCATTAAACATTGTTGAAAAGGTAAGAAAAGGATCCAATCAATTAGTTTTTTCCCCTCGTTTACACTGAAGGAAATAACGGCGCAGTGTGCGTGGCTCTGGTGTTCATCAGGTTTAATGTTTCTGTTTGCAACAATCTTCACAAGAAGGTAAAACAGTTTAATGACAGGGTTCGCGTTTGGTTGTTTATTTTGACGGAGAAATCTCAAGCCTGCAGATGCGCTGACATTTTAACCGTTACGTACATCATAGAGGTAGCCACATCAATCAGGAAAAGATTCCCATCATAACATCTGAGATGGACACTGAGCTCAGCGCAGCTCACTCTCAGCGCATGCGTAAGGTGGACAGCGAGCTGAAGATGTGTAGATCCGGGGCTTGGAGCGAATCGCAGAACCAGAATCCTTCAAGGAAGATTCTGTGTTTTCTAAACCCAGTCTCTCGGAGAGACTTGCCACTTAAAAAATGTTCCCTGATTATGAATCTTTGTCTGAATAGTGCTTGTTCCTGTCTCCAACACTGTGACGCATCCATGAGCCTGTCTGAGGAACAGTCCAGACTCTCATATCTTCTTCAGCTCAGAAAGCTCCTATAGAGACATTTGATTATGCACAAGCAGGTGATCTGTTCAGGTTTACGCAGAAAATCTTTTAATTTAGAAATGGCTACAGATAAAAATGAATGCAGTTAGAGCTGCACAATATATCAAAAAATTATCGTCATCGGGATAACAGGACGTGCGATAGGCCCATCGCAAAGCACGTCAAAAACGGCGATAAACGTTTGGTTCAAACATTTCCATCCGTGTCACACATCAACTTTTTGTAAACCAGCTCTGTTTTTTATGTGGAAGTATTATTTGACCAATCAAATGCAGCCCTTCTGATATGCGGCCAATCAGATGGATCCGTTCACGTAATACGCCCGCCCCCAACGTAGACCCTTAGGATGGAAAGCAACACCCGAACTGAGTTAGCGGCGACGTTCCCTTGTTCGTCATGCTGGCTCAGAGCAACAAAAGCACTTTGTGCTGAAGTTTCTGGAATCAGCGCTGCTTTCAAACGTGAACGTGAGTCCGCTCGGTGTCGTTAATCATTTTTACCGGGCTGACTCCGACACGTGTCGGTGAACCAACCCACCTTCATGTCGCTAGTGTTCCACCGGGTGGTGATGTTAGCCCCAGGCTCCGGTTAGCTTCCAGCTAAAAGGCTACAGCTCTCTCCTCCCAGTCCCACCCTGCTAAAGAGGGCCTGGAAAAGTTCCCCCACATCAAAGTGATTTTTCCTTTATGAGCTTTTATAACCTTGTTAATCAGAATAGTTGATTTGCTGCTGCACATAAACTGTCAGTCAGAAGCTCTGCTAGCCGGTTATCTTAAGAGGAGATAGTTCAGTTTGTTAGCTTGTTATCAAAAATTATAGTTGCAGTTTCATCATCTGAGCTGCTTTTTAAGATCTAGGTAAACTTGTTCAATTTGGGGTTAAAAACAAACGTTTTCACATATTTTCCATGTAGTCTTTTTGCCAGTTCCTCTTCTGAAAGGTAGACAATTGTTTTTCTCTTTCCCTCAGAAAATCTTAACATTCTCCTAGTTTGGCCCAGCACAGTTCACCTCCCAATTACAGCAACAGCCTTATATCATAACCACATAAGTGGAGAAAATATTCAGTAGCAATGAGAAAATTTTGCTGTTGCATTTAAGTGATGTTAACTATTATTTAACATTTAAACTTATTTACTGATTTTTTTATTTATTTTAAAAAAACCTGGTTAGGGATGTTTTTCTGTATTTGGAGCATCAGAAACAGTTTTATGGTGGAGGTGATGTTTTAAAGTCACTGAGAAACTGCATGCATGCAGTTTGTTGTTTTGCTGCTAATACAGTAGCAGGTGCAGCTGCTAATACAGTAGCAGGTGCAGCTGCTAATACAGTAGCAGGTGCAGCTGCATATTTATGCAATAAAAATGTTATGTTGTAATGGAATTCATGCATTAGTTTTTGTTTGCTTTGAAGCCAGGGCAGACGTCACACGACATCAACACTGCATACTTTAGTATTTGTTCATTTATCGCGAGTAATATCGATATCGCAGTATTATGCACTGTTATCGAGTATCGCAGGTTTTCCTAATATCGTGCAGCCCTAAATGCAGTAAAATAAAATACATTATAATTAAATATTCATTAAATAGTTTACAAGCAGAGAGCCGCATCAGATGGATGAAAGAGACGCATACAGCTCCAGAGCCGCAGGTTGCCGACTCCTGGACTAACTCATGGTTTCACACTAGAAGCATCAGCAGCGCGAAACGGCAGTGGAACGGTTTACCGAACTTCAACTCTTCGCTGGACTCGCAAGATCACAAGATCCCTCCAGACTTCGGGTCAAGGTTTGTTTATACAATCTGCCATCAAACCAAAAAGAAGGCAATCACGTTTGATATCGCTGTTGGATGTCACATGATGTTGTTCCTCTCCACTGCCAGGAATAAAGCCATGAAAAACACGCTGCCACAGTGCTGGAACGATGCTGAGTAAATAAGTCGCTGGGTCACACGTAAGCTTCATAATGACATTACATTGCATCGCCGCAGTGCTTTTCTTTAGAAAATTACCGGGGATTTTACACTGAAACTGTATGTGATTTCCTGTATAGCCCCATGTTAACTGTGGAAATTGACGTGTACTAGAAGCGGCTTGGGGCAAAAATAGATCCCACCCTTAGCGGCGCAGCGTGCCACTTCTGGGATGTGCCTGGAAATTGCTGCGTCATTGCTGGTTTCAAACAATCCATAGACTTTTATGGATTCTATTTGAAGCGGTGATGTTCCGCTGCTGTTTTGCGCCACTGATCCTTTCAGTGTGAAATCGGGTAATGGAGCAAATTCTGTTAATCTGGCCTTCAAAATAAAATTTGACACGCACTATTAAACTACAAGACCCTTATGATTACGATAACACCATTTACAAAGATTCAAATTTTAAATGTACGCTACCGTTAACATCGATTTGTGTCGTTTTGTTTCATTGAAAAGAACAATGTATCCAAGACAATTAAACTTACATCACTTACGGATTAAAAACAAAAAACATAAATACTGCACCATCCCGCCCACCAAACCAATAGCTTGCTGCGATTGGCCCACTAAACTGAGTGCTGTGACTGGCATAAGACAATACTGCTCAGTCCAATGGGAGGCCTGCTGAGGCTCCCGTGGAGTGAGGCTAGACTGACATGCAGAGTGAAATCCTTTCATTTTCGCCATTTCCACGAAAAAATACTACTACCAAGATTTGAACCTGCAACCTTCTTTCTCCA